AGACTAATAGAAAGAAAACAAAATAATGAAAAAAATATAATCACAACAATAAAAGAAAAAGAGCTAAAAGAAGAATCACTGGAGTGGGAGCATCTCGCAAAAGGCCTCGCTGCTCCAGCAGAAGGCGCTCACTCCCTCCATACTCCCACGAACACTCATCACTTCTGCAGTCGCCTCTTACATGGCAATCAAAACACATGTAAGGCTGTTAGTTAGTGCCTGGGATCTGCTTGGATGATCAGCAAGATCCCAAAAAAAAAAAGCAGACACTCAGGGTCAAATGATTTCTTCCCCACAGGCAATAGTTTAAGACATTCTACAAACTGACTTTGTGTAAACGAAAGGTTTCACAGGCTTGTGCTTGAATGCGCTTGACTGAGGACTGAAGTAGGGAAAGAGAGCTGGTGTTCACATGGAAAGCATCATGTGACATACCTAAAAGCATTAGCATGATTTTCAAATAACGCGAAGAAGAATGGATGGACAAGAAATGTCACTTTATTGTCTGATTTTTTTCCTTCTTTTTTCCCAACCTGATGCAGGTTACAATGAGTTTTATCAAATGTGGGGTCAAAGGATGGCAACTCACACCTTGCAACATTTTAGACATGCGTGATTGCTTTAAACATTGGGAAAGGGACAAATCAGGCCTATAGTCTGGTTTCAGTGTATTAGGTAACAAATATTTAACATCCTGGGTCATTCTTTGCGTGCAGAAAACCACGGGGAGAGGAGAGAGAAAGAGAGAACCGTGCTGTACACTGAGTGTCTATTTTGAAAGGCACAGCAAGGCTACTCCCACCCTCAGTTCACACACACATACACGTACACACACACACTCTTGCATGTGCATTATAGACAGCACTGGTCAGAGTCTCTGATGTATACAAGACTGAACAAGAGAAAGAAATAGATAAACTGGGCAACCAGGCAAGACTGAAACCAGTGCTGTCACCCTTCACACACATTCATACACACACAGCGCTGACAGAAGAGGAGAGGGTGGAATTGATCATTTAGCGTTTTTGAGCTGGTTGGAGAGCCAGTCGAGCCCTTCGTACAGGCCATCCCCACTGGTGGCGCAGGTGGCCTGGATGTACCAGTTACGATGACGCAGGGAATGAAGGCCCAGCTTATCTGTGATCTCGGCTGCGTTCATCGCGTTGGGCAGATCCTGTAACGGAACAGATGGAAAGAGCAATGCAATCAAACACGGAGTTTCTTAAAAATATCAATTTTGATTTGTGCAATATTGATTCATAAAAACCCAAGATCACTGCACATTTTTACTGGCTGTGTGAAAATGTGCTGCCCAACCTGCAGATGTCACTGTATTCTGCTAAACAAACTTAAAAGACTCTTATGAGCCAGTTCATTTGAATGAATCAACAACATAACCAAAAATGTGGTCAGTGCAAGATGAGTTACTGGTTTGAATCAGTCTAAAGCACTGGCTTGTTTAATTTATAGCATTACCAGAGAGAGAATTTCTTACATTGAAAGTTTGAAAAAAAAAAAAATGAAAAAAAATCGTGTGCCCACCAGGGCTACTTTTATTTCAACAAAAATATATTAAAAACAGTATTTTCATGAAATATTATACTTTAATAGAACCGTTTTAAATTTTAATATATTTTAATATGTAATTTATTCCTGTGATGACAAAGCAGGATTTTCAGCAGCAAATCAGAAATAATTCTAATACGCTGATTTGGTGCTCAAGAAACATTTCTTTTTATTATAAATGTTTAAAAGCGCTGCTTAATATTTTTGTGTAACCAGTGATCCTTTTTTTCAGTATTATTTGATCAATTAAAAAAAGTTCAAAAGAACAGCATTTATTTAAAACATATATTTTGTAACAATGTAAAAGTCTTAACTCTCACTTTTGATCAATTTAATGCTGTTGAATAAAATGCTTGCTGAATGAAAGTATTAATTTCTTTTAAAAAAACTTTTAAACAGCAGTATAAGCAAAATCTATAAATGTGAAATATACTTTAATCAGAATCTAATCAAATCAGAATTTGAGCTGGTGAATCAGAATTAAATCAAACCAAATAAGATCAACTCCATTAATATCCAGACCAATCAATGAAAGTCATAAATGACATCAGCCCTAGCAGAAGTCAGAAAAGGAACCAAATAATAATACGTTTTATTTATATAGCGCCTTTCAAATACCCAAGGATGCTTTACAAATAAATACTGGGGCTGCTGATGCTGCTTGCGTTTAGAGAATTTGGTTTTCCTCTTTTACCTGCTTGTTGGCAAAGACGAGCAGCACGGCATCTCTCAACTCGTCCTCCGCCAGCATCCTCGTCAACTCCTCCCTCGCCTCATTCACTCGCTCCCTATCGTTACTGTCCACAACAAAAATCAGGCCTGTGGAACAGACAGTGAGAGACTGAGTATGCGCTTAAGAGTTGCTCCATACCTGGTTCTCTGTGTGCATGTGTGGACACTGACCTTGTGTGTTCTGGAAATAGTGCCTCCAAAGCGGCCGGATCTTATCCTGACCACCCACATCCCACACAGTGAAGCTGATGTTCTTATACTCTACCGTCTCAACATTAAAACCTGCAAAGAGGAGAGGGGGCAAGTTAAAAACTGGTTCAAAGAAAAGAGGGGCAGATGGAATGAGGGTGAAAAGGCATGAACTTCTTGTCTCTCATGCTGGGGCCCCGCTCTAATAACACTACGGCCCGAGGGCAAAGAATTGTACGATATATACACACAGACAGCAGAGAAAGAGATGGGATAGAGAGATAAGATAGGACACACAATTCCCTTTCACACAGATATTCCGGAAAATACACGGGTAATGTGTCCCGGGAATTGGATGTGACGTGTAATGTACGAGTCGAAAACTTGAGCTTACTTATTACTTGTGATTTCTCTCTCGAGAAACCACGCTGTTGCATTTTGGTTTTAATTTGCTCATACACAACCGCATCACGTACCGTTCCACTGAGCTGGCAAACGATCTCAGCTTCAGCGCGGATACTGAGGAGCTCCGTGGTCTCTGCTTCAGTCCAGTTCGTGCACATTTCTGTTTTTTTTTTATTTTTTTAATGTGAACGCCACTCTCTGCGTTTAAAACACTGACTAGCCCCTCCGGCACTGCAGGGTTGTATTATTGAAAACATCCGCTCAAAGAGTCGCACGATACTACGTCATCACTACGACACATCCGTTACGGCATTGGTTCCAGCTTTTGTTTACACAGGGCACCTTCTGGGACTGAACCCGGCAATGTTACTAGGTCCCCAACCCGGGATCGATCCCGGAATCAATCTTGGGATGTGTTTGCGTTCACACAGAAGGCACTCCGGCAATTTTCCGGGACCAACGTGCAGTGTGAAAGGGGTTACAGAGATGGAATGAGAGGGGGGAGGGACAACGAATAAAAGCAGAATAAAAATACAGGAAACCACTTTTTTTTTTTTCTTCAAATCAAAGTATCTAATCAGAGCTGGTTGGTTTGATTAATGCCTTGCAACTATTTATTGATGTTTTTTTAATGTCCATGGATAAAATAATATTTCCACAACCAAGCCCACTTAAGAGAGAAAAAAACAGCAATACATGGTGCAAAACAAATTTATTAATCTGAAATAGGGATGACTGAGAAAGAAAGCAAAGTAAAAGTGCAAGAATCACAGACCGATAGTGGGGATGGTGGTGACTATTTCTCCCAGTTTCAGTTTGTACAGGATGGTGGTTTTTCCAGCAGCATCCAAGCCCACCATCAGAATTCTCATCTCTTTCTTCCCAAAGAGATTCTTAAAGAGGCCTGCAAACATATTCCCCATGGTGGCGGATCTGCAGAGAAGAACAGAGAAGGTAGATGGGGTTATTCACCTTATGCGTCAGAGAAACTAGTGCGCAGCCATCTTTAGAATTTTGTCTTGAAGAGTAATTAGCTGGTGATGTGGATTCACTTACTGTTGAGTTAATGAAAGTTATCATGTGCTAGGAATGGGCATTCCAAGCAAAAATAATATTCGAAAATCGCTTGGTATTATTTGATTATTATTCGAAAATCGCACCCCTCCCACGCAAGCACGCACAAATACCCATAAACAGAGAGAGATGGAGAGAGAGACGGGATTCACGCTTTCAATCTGTATGATAAACTGTTTAATTCAGAAGATAGGCTACCTTAACTCAAGCCATATAATGATTGTAACGTGCTGAAACATATTAATATAATAAACATAACCGAATGA